GTGTTTGGGGGTTTGTTGGCTTGTTGGGTGAACTGTTGAAAACATGGAACATGTGACTGAGAAGCTCGTCGGCTGTCTGACATGAAGCAGCGACGCTGAGGTCAGTGGTTTTTATCCTGTCGTGTCCTTTTAAATTCCTCACACTGGTTCAGGATTAGAGTTCGTTCTCCTCGTGAGGAACATGCAGCTGGACGTGTTTGTCGACGGCCAGCTTTGTGCCGCCCAGCAGTGAAGTGTGGTTACAAAGACACAGCCTGGGTTTGTTGGGTTTGGTTTGTGTTGCAGGAGTCAGTGATGAGCTTCTGCCACTCGTCCTCCTCCACCAGCAGCCACACAAACCAGACAGAGTCTCAGCAGCATGTTTCCTGTGTCTATAAGTTCTGGGACTTGTTGAACGCTTCATCTAACAGCTGCCCAACGTCCTCTGCTCTACAGGTGGCAGAAGCAGGCTACACGTCATCCACAGAACTTCTCCAGGACTTTGGTCCAAAGCAGCTTCAACATGCAGCTGGATTCTGGTTTATCTTCATCGTGAGGAGACGACAGAAGCTTCAGGTCAGCACCAGCCTCCATGTGAGTTTATTCTGTTCTGCTGTTTGCATCAGTTTGGATGTTTGAGGCCGTTTGTTTTCATGATGCCACACTTTAAGGATCCACGTTTGAACTTGAGCTGCTTTAAACTCGCTCTGAGGCTGCAGGCGTCACGGTTCTGGTCCGGCTTGGACTCCTGGATGGAGCTTCTCTAAACCAGGTTATTGTTTAATGCTGTCTTTAGGCTGTGTGGACAGCTTTCTTCAGATGTTTTAAGCAGTGGTGGTTAGTTTAACAGTTTCTCACGTGTTCTACATCTAACATGTAAAGAAGTACAGAACCAATGAGCTCCGGCTTCGATGCACCGTCTTCAAACAGCCTGCCGTGGTTCAGATGGCTGGACTCGGTTCTGAGCCTGTCCATGACGGGTCCAGGCAGTAAATCATCCCGAGGCCGGCGTGTCGTTGTCTTGCTGTGTTTGACGTCTTCATCCTCCCAAACAAAGCGGCCGACACGCAGTAAGTCTGCAGCTTTCTGTCGGCTTGGAGCGCCGCCAGGAAGCTAATCCAGCAAACTGTAGCGCCGGTGCAGGAGGCAGACCATGATGTGGGTTCAGATTCAGGAAAACACGAAACCTGACAGGAGAGAAGGCTGCACGCC